CTTGAGCCATAGGCACCGAGCCAAGACAACTCTTAACTCTTCCATTGTGTGTCAGGAAAGAAGGAAGCTTGGTACTCCTGTATATTTCCCCTCTACAGATGCAGAGCAGACTTACAGGCAGTTAGGAATGGCCACGCTGAATCAGATCCCTATCTGTCTGATTCTGAAGGCTGTGATCTTTCTGTCACACCACCTTGCCTCCTAAAATAATAGAAAAAAGAGGTGGATCTCCTTTCTTAAGGTTTTCAAGAAGAAAAAACATGGATATCCACCTATCTTCTTTCTCTGCCCCTTCTGGAATGTTGTGGTGATAACCTGTGTTTCCGTCCTCCTTCCTTACAGGTGGTGTGGGTGACGGCCACCTTCCCTTACATCATCCTCTCTGTCCTGCTGGTGAGGGGGGCCACCCTCCCTGGAGCCTGGAGGGGTGTGCTCTTCTACTTGAAACCCAACTGGCAGAAACTCCTAGAGACAGGGGTAAGATGAAAGAAGTAGTGTGCACCCATCTGCCATTTTACTAAAGGTGCTAGTCCTCCTCTGAACACAACAGTAGGGACAGCTCAAGTTTGCTTTTAGTGTGCAAGTTTGCAGTGATGCTTTAAACCACAACAACAAACACAAAAAGCACAATTGAGGCTATTAGATGGGTTTATATCTAAAAGATAGGAAAAGAAATTGCATTTGTTTGCACTTGATATGTGGCTGTTCCTGGACTGAGTCTTAAAAGTGGTCTCCTGCCTCTGTGCAAAGCCATGTGGAGGCATGAGGGGTGCTGGCCCTGCAGTTGCCCAGTGTCAGCTTGGGTCTCATCCCCACCCTTACCCCCTCTCCCACACCTTTACCCCTGCTGTGTTCCAGGTATGGGTGGATGCCGCTGCTCAGATCTTCTTCTCTCTTGGTCCTGGCTTTGGGGTCCTACTGGCTTTTGCGAGCTACAACAAATTCAACAACAACTGTTACCAGTGAGTATCTGAAGCCCTCAAACAAGTCTTGAAAGTTAGTGAATCTGGTCCTCAAACTTGGCCAGATTCTGGACATGATGGTACTGACGCTCACGGGTGCTGCAGTCCCTGACCAGTTCATGACCAAGGCCAGAGCACCCATCCAGGTCATAACTTCACCTGGGCCATTCAGAGGATGAGAGAGTCCCTGTATATAGAAAAAGTAACAATTAAGAAATTCTGAGGCTGGACACAGTGGCTCACACCTGTAATCTGCAC